CACGCATGCGCAGCGCAGCGCGCACCGGTGCTGTGCGCCGCAAGTGCGGTACACATCTTGAGTTGGTGAAGCTGGTGAAAGCATGTGTAGGCATTGCGTACACATCATAACTCGATGAAGCTGGTTTTCCTTGCTTTCAAAGGTTGATGAACATACAAATACGCGACTGTGTCCTTCGGGGCATCCGTTAAAAATGGAACGATTGCCCCTGCGCAAGGATGACACATCTGAAAAAAAAAAAAAAACAAGACTGTGGGAAGCAGCATCTGGATAGTTGCACGACTGTGTTCATCTGACTACACTGCCTGGTCCGGCCTGCACAGTTGCACTACAGTGTTCTTCTTCTGACTAAAATGCCTGACCATTAACGACTCATTATTACTGCATCTGGACTCAAAAGTTGCCCCGAATCCAGCTGTAATGACAGGCATTCTATTTGGGTGACAACGGTAGTAAAGGATAAAAGCATATATCGCCAACCGAACTCAGATTTCGTTTGTTTTTTCCATTTTTCTTTTTTTTCCCATGTTTCACATATTTGTGGCACTCTTGCATTTTGCCCGTCAACAAAGAGCCAACGAGAACTCAAATTGAGACCTTTGCTTCCACACAACCTGCGGGGCTGAGAATAGTGCACACCTCTCTCTCCCCCCTTCCACACAGCCTCTTCAGAGTGCTCCAATATTAATAATAAAAAAAAAAAGAAGAAGTTTAAAGAACCTTATGGTTCTGGCCCTCTTCTGGCTCCTTATCCATTCTGGAGAGCTTCAGTCCGGTTCCTAAGAGTGGTCTGAATTTGATATTTATTATTTATCAAAACCCTTCAACCAAAAAAAAACAAAAAAAAAAAGCTCTGAACAACTCAGAGCATCCCACACTACCGGGTACTTTCACAGACATATCTGACCAGAATTCAGCCTCGAGCTGGATGTATCTGGAAGCAATTCCGTCCAGAGCTGAGTCAAAAAAGCCCTAGTGTAATTATGCTCTGTCATGGAGGGCTAAACCACCCGGCAGAGATACCCCAAACACAACTGATTGTGCATTAAATTTTTTACCTCCCTACGCGTCAGTCGAGGTGCTTCACAGGTATAACTTGCGCCAAGTTCAAACACATTCTAAGCCGCTCGCTCTAATACACTACCGACCAATGCTGCACTGCAGTCAGCTGCATCCGAGCGTTGAACAAGCAAGCAATTGAGTGTGTGGCCCTCATTGCAGTCGACAGTTGCATACTCACATACGTTCAAGGCCCTGTGGACAGGATCATGCGGTGTTACACGTATCAGGGGATTTAGAGATGCTTCTCTCACTACCTCAAAGGGGCCCGGGGCAGGGATAGCACTTGTACTTGGCTCGTCATGCTTTTCTACTGCACCCGCTTCCAACTCCTCTTTCTCTGCACCATGGTAGCCCACAGATCAAAAAAGGAACGAAATGTTTTAGTCCGGACTCCGTAGCATTTCATATAGTGAAATAAGTTCGTCTGCCCCCCCCCCTCCCCCCAGTTCAGACCCTGTTAGAACAAAGCCAGCAGCTCAGAGAAGGGAAGGGAGACAAGCACACATTCCCATGCACGCACACACACACACACACACACACACACACACACACACACACACACACACACACACACACACACACACACAC